TGCAGAACATGAGTTCCGGGGCGAACTGCTAAACCAAAGGTGGACCCGAGGGGAGAGGATCAACAGCTGTGAGAGCCGAAAACGATTAAACAGCAGGGACTCCAAGGTAAGGGGACCTAATACATCATTTATCATTCGCTTCCGTATGTCTGTCATTCCGTGGCCTCCAGAGAGGCTGAAATACAAACTACATTCAAACTCCTTCAGAGGCTGTATTGCAAAATCCAGGCACGGATCAGTCTTGTAATAAATGTCCAGATTTTCCCATCCAAATGTCCGAGGACGGTTCTAGATAATTTCTAGTATCCGACTGGGGACATTCGTACTTTAGCGGGCTCACTATTGGGGATATTTAAATCGAACACCCCCACAGTGAATACTAATTGGTCAAATACAGCATATATCTCACAAACACAAAAAACTAAATGAATTAAAAAAAAAAAAAAAATTAGGACATCCAATATTTGTATACCCAATGGGTGCATGTTTTTCTCAGCCAGTACCACCTCTGCTCTGCAAACATTCCATGCATTCATCATTCTTGTTGAAATGTACAGAGGCTTTACATTTGTGCAGAGCCCACGGCTGAGTATTACCCCTTTCTGCCATAATCCCTTTCCAATCTCCAATGAAACGGATAGATGCATTCTAGGGATGTAGAATGCATTTTTAATATATTTTAAAATTATTTTACCAGTAGAAATAATTTGCAATTTATTTCACATTATCGCAGCCTGAATATCATTTATTCTTTCCTCTGCAACACTTTTTTCTCCCAGATTATGAATAAATCACAATGTAGATTTCTGTGCGGATTACATCGGTAGTAAAGGATATTTATTGCATGACAAACAAAGCACACGATGTCCTAGGAGTTCTTAAAAATAAATGGACTCTATTCAATTAATTTCATCATACGGGAGATTATGGTTCCCAGATTCATTTTTATGTTAAAAATGGCCGTAATTTAAAGGGACGCTTTCACATCACACAATATTTAATACTATGTTTACTTATTGCTTACATTTAGCAAATATGTATTTGTTAGGTCTGAAAATAAAATGAAATGTAGAAATTCACATCACTGCAGTTCCCTTTATCCTGGAACTGAACACCACCATCTTGGCTCCCATTGCTGTAAGCACTTTGCACCTGTCAGTCAGCATAGAGAGGAGGAGAATTGAACACCGCCATCTTGGCTCCCATTGCTATACAGAGTCCATGCATTGCATTGTGCTAGTATCTGATTGTCTGTTTCTGTTTTGCTGATAGGCCTACAATGCACCGTTGTATAGCGTTATGTATAATATAGTCTTACTATAGCAGATTTACATGTTTGCTGATGCGTTGTTCGTTATGGTAGGTTTAGCAATTTAATTAATCTGGGATTAATCTAATGATGTTCCTGAAAACCTCTAATTGCAGATGAATGTGGAAATTGACGACAAAAGAACACGCACGAGGTCAAAAACAATCAGAGGTGAGTTTATTACCTCCGCTAGGTCTGATAAGCTCAATGGCATCCTCAGGAGATAAGAGAGCTTCGCACCCTGCACGAACAAGTCATACCTCATTAGAGTCATTCACAAAAATACTAACAGCTCTGAGGACCAACCGAGATTTATGTTTAATTCAATCCGAACTTTTGAAATCTCTTAATTACTTACAAGCATTCATCTAGAGCACGCAGGCGGTGTAGTGCACAGTGAGGGGGCACCCAGGGGGACTGCAGCTAAAAGCTTTGCTATTCTCACGCACACACTGGCTGTGCTCACATCTCGATGGTTCTTATAAAGCCACATGACTGCTATTAACTGCAGCTTGTCCTAATTAGTCATCAGCACCCCCAAAACTGTGAACTCTACACCAAGTTTTTCAGATGTTGAAATTGATTGTGTTATATCGAAAACCAAGCTGAGTGATAATACACCTTCCTGTCTCAGTGGACCCTTATGTAGTCCATAGAGTGACTTTGTGACTTCATGGTCCAAACGAGAGCTGCAGCGCACCAAAATTTGAGATCCACTAAATCTGATGCAGATAATGTGTGGTACTGAGAGGTGGCCCTTTAGCATTCTGTTTTTTAAATCAGTGTAACGAACAACGAAACGTTTGAGAGCAGGTCTTGGACTAGCAGCAGACACAAAATATTTGTTCCTTCCAGATGGACGCTTTCTGACCTGCTTTGTAAGAATAGATTATAAAGCATAGATTATGACGAACGATAAGAACCAATTGCTTTGTACAGTCTGCCATTTCTTAAATCCACCTATAAGCTCATAATTATTTGTTCTTTGGGAAGTGTTATGTCTACACATTATTTTATTTTAGTAATTCACATTCTGCTCCGATTTAAACCCTTAACCATTTATATTCAGTCTTAAAACTGAGCAGGTTGGCTGATTTTTAAAAATGTATTTTTTTATAAAACTAGTGCCCTGGATCCTTATTGTAGGATACCACCTTAATAAAAGAATTATGTGTCTCAAAACAAACGTCAGTAAATCACAATATTATCATTTCAGTTATAGTAGTGGTACTCAGAGCTCCTATTTGGAGTTCTGGGAATAGTGACGGATAGGTTAACATTTGAAATTGAAGTGTTTTTTATATTGGATGACCGAGTCTTTATTGCAAACTAATACAGAATTTGTATTGATCTCTCGACAGCAGTCCCCGCTGAGCTCATAGGACAGGAAGTGAGGTAAGAGGATATCCCAACCTACATTCACTCATCTTGGCTCAGTGGGTTTTTTTACATTTTATCTTTGTTAATGCATCAAACATATAACACTCGTCTGCATGAGAATGGACAGAGTTCAATAACTTGGTCTATGTATAGTGCCCAAGGTCTCCTGTGTGTTTAATAAACTGTGCTGTTATAGAGGAGACTTCAGTGAGCCTATTAACCTGGAGAACTTGCAATCGCAGCCCCGATCCGAGCTGTCAGACAACTTTCTTCTGTACTAAAGCTCTAGCAACCTTAGGCAGTCATCTCACCCAATTACAGGCCTGAGTGAGGTGTATTTGAATTCTAAAACAGAGTTCCCAACCCCGCTTTCAAGGCACACCAAAAGACGGGGATTTAGGAATTCCTTAATTTTGTTCCAGTAGGCATCTTGACTAAAGCAGGGCTGTTGGTGTGTGTTAGATTGGGAGCCACTGCTTGGATTTGGATTGTCCTGTGTCTTCAGGAGAACCCTAAAAGTATGAAAATATGCACATAAACCTGAGAAAGGAAGTTTAATGACCTGTTGTATGAGATGGAACTCATTCCCGATCTTGCCGTGAGTTTCAGCTCACTTGTTCCATCACATACGAATGTCCATTCTCAGTTGAGTGTTTTTCACAAACCGTTTGCCTTTCTGATTGGGTGTAAATAAATAAAGCAGACCTCAGGGTCGTTGAAGGCTACATTGGCCTTCCCTGTTCTAGAGCATGGAGATGGCTCACGCCAAGAGTATCCAGCTTAATAGCTGACGTCACACTACCCTCTGAGCCTCTGATTCTACAGCAACCAAAGTGTTACAAAATAAAAGGAACACACAGTATACTCTGAGCTGTGCACATTCAGTTCTTTAATTAAGCATAGTCATAAAGCTGTAATGAACACTCTATTAATTAGATGGGGTGAAGTGTTTCATTAATCTGAAGCAGGCATGTGGTTCACTGGAATTAAACTGATCAGGATGAATGAAAGCCCGTCAGAGGGTAAAGGTTCTCGTTCCTCCTTGGCTCCCGTGGTGACCTAATATCGCTCTTCTTTACTTTCTCTCAAGCTGTCCCACCCCAGGCTGCATTGGCTCAGGACACACAAGTGGAAAGTATGCAAGACACAGAAGGTGAGTGTGCTCTTAGAAGCTGACTCGTATGGATGTAATTCATTCTGTAATACTAGTTCTGCATATCTCCAGAAACTCAAACAATCGTAGCTACAGAGATATGGTCATCTCGTCATAGTCCGGAACAGGGGTGGGCAAACATCAAACACAGTGAATCATTGGTTTTGTGATCTTAATGAATGGAGGAGGTCATAAGATACAGCACTGTGACAAAATTTAGTCTGGGCAGACCATTATTCTGGAAAATTGAAAATTTTCCCGATGACCCGATGAGGTCATTTTGTTCTTGATTATGTTGGCTAAAAGTTAACTCACCGCAACCTACTGTTTAGATGAAACCTCTATATGAGCCAAGACCCAGATCAGTCAATATTTTTATCGAAACATACCCAGCAGCAAAGAAGCAACGATTCACATTCATTGGTTAGTTTCAGACGGTTCAAGCATCTTGCGTTAAACTTATCTGCACAGCTGAATTTCTCTCCAAACCTGTCCCTGTCATTCCTGCATGGAACGGGTAGAAATTCATGATCAAATTACAGATAATTTTTCTAAGTAACAAGAGACAGCTCAGTGAGAGGTAACTAAATTACATAGCATTTGGCTCTCATTGGAAGCACTGCGGATAGGAAACCGTTTTATTGCTAACGTATAAAGAAAATTGTGCCCAAAGGAGACAAGTGCAGAAATATAATAAAAAAATGTCCCTATGGGAAATGAACCTCTTCCCTAACGAATTAACTGATTTTTATTGAGAAGCACTTTTTTAATACATAATATGCATATATTTACATCAAAACTACCCTCTGACTATTATTAAAATGCAATGAATAATTCCTAAATGTCATGTCCTGAATTATTAACATGAAACTGTCACCTGAAATATTCTTAACCTAAATCACTTAAAAAAATATATCGCCAACAAATTATAGTTTTATCTAACTAGACCTCAATATAATATTGTTTAATAAGCTGCTCGAATGATTTAAGATTTTTGGTTAGACTTTTAAAATATTTTTTTAAACATATTAACATATTCAAATATAAAAAATATATCATACCTAAAAATATATCAATATATAAAAAAATATCAAAATATATTTTTCATGATATTAAATAGTTTTAAAAGTGTATCAAAAAATATTAAATGATTTGAGAAGCACAGACCTAACAATATTAAAGTGAGGCCTAAATCACAATAAATTTATGCTACGATTTCCATTTGAAGTTAGGAAAGTTTTTCAGAGTGGAAATTCTATTTTGAAATTTTGAAAGCTTCCACGACAGTTACAGATAAAGAAAAACACAGAATAAATCCAGAAAAAGATGCAGAGCGTCAGTCAAAACCCAGTGTTTCTGGATTTTTCCTGACTTGCTCCTGGCATTCCATAGTGCACGGATGAGGAAATTCAGTTCTCCAACTGCTTCATGTAATTAAAGAAATGATGTGTTGAAACATTTCTCTTGTACTTTGTACCAGTTTACAAAGTTGCCCCCTGGCACGAAAACGCAAGATTCAGGATGCCGAAGCAGAACATGTTTCTTCAAAGAGGAAATCACACCCACTCAAGCTTGCCCTGGACGAGCGGTACAATGTGGACAGCGATGGAAGTGAGGAAACAGAGGTGAAACAGGAAGAGTCTGGGTCTGAGGACTCTGAAGGAAGTTTAGAGGAAATCGAAGAAGAATCTGAAATGGCAGAACCCAAAGATATGCCCAGCCCAAAATCTCCTGCAGAAGGTAATCCTCTTTGTTTAGGAGATGTAAGACATGTGTGTACCTACAACTCTTGTCATGTAGTAATTCCATTACTTCTCCCTTAGAATTTCCCCCAGAATTTCTCTTTATACACAACTCCCATTTAAGGGTCTTGCTTGGTTCCAGGAAGACATGGGGCTTGAGCCCAAAGGAAAACTATGTGACCCTTACACTGGCAGAGAGGTGGGGGTATGTCATGAAGATCCCCATCTTTCTATGGTTAGTCGCCTCCTCTCTACCCATGATTAGCGTGCCCAGGTATTCACTGCAATCCTGCCAAGCTACCTAAGTAATACAGGAATGTTCAGCAACGCTCTTTATCTCCTACCAACAGTCACCTGGGGGTCACCACCCCTCTAAGTAGTCTAGCAGAGCATAACAATACTGATCTTTTTTTTTTTTTTTAAAAGGAGGCTGGATACTCGATATAAAACTCAACTAGCAGTAGAGATTCAGGGCTAAAGAGCCGTATGCCCCCAGTGTATGTTGCTAAATGAAGTATTTCAGATACTGACACCTCTTCCTCACATAGAATATTAAGGCTGACTAACACTAAACTAACACTAAACTATTGGTGGAGTAATGGATACAATCCCAAAATAAAATGTTTGCTAACAGGCTGATATTATGGCATGTTCCTCTCTGTTTGAAATATACTCTTTGACCATTTGAGAATCCTATTTACTGCAGCTCAGTGAAATGCATTTCATTGATTGATATATATATTTACATACATGCAAAATAAACCAGAAACACAGTATGGATCCCTGAAACCGTGAGTGCAAGCAGTGCAGTTCACTGTGCAGCCTGAACAATACATCACACAATACCAGACATGATCCCTTGCTGGCCAGACATGTCTTGGAAACACAGGAACATGAATTCCCCAGCCTGACAAGATCCTGTAGTAATTAGAACATACCTAGTAACGAGTTTCCTTTCAACAGGCATCAAGACTATCTAATGGGGGTTATGTGCGAGCCGTGTTTCCAGCTACATAATTGCAAGATTAATTTACTTCACAGTGTAATTACAAAAAGAGTAATGTCAACCTTTTTTTCTCTGTACATTTTTTTTCTTTGTAGATGAAAAACCAACATTTACAGAGGAAATATCCAACACAGAGAAAAGTTCTCAAGAAAAACCCAGTTACAGCAGCTACCAAGAAATTATTGCCAATTCGCTTCTGAATCTGGGGCACGTAGCGAAGCAAACACTTGTGTCAGAGGGGCATTTAGCAGAAAGTGAACTGGACTCTCCCAAACCAAGTATTGGTGCAGTGGAGATAGTACAGGAGGAGGAGGTGGAAGAAGCCCTGGTAGAAGATGTGTGCGATAAAGAGATTATCATCCAGACTGAAGATGCTGAAGAGGTCATTGAGGTCACTAGTGAACGGAGCAGTGAGCTGTGTCTTGAATCAAGGGACGATGTCAACTGTGAAGACACCTGCAAGTTGCAGAAGGATGTAGAGGAGGAAGAAGATGATGAAGATGATGATGACGATCTTGATGAAGACGATGATGATGATGATGATCTGGAAGACTTTGAAGAGGAAGAAGAAGAACGACCCACCGAGACGATCAACCAAGTTATTCCCCATGTTTCTCAGGACTCCCCTAAAATCCACTGTGAAGGACAGTTCAGTCCTAAACCTGAATATTCAGTCATTGTGGAGGTCAGGTCAGATGATGATAAAGACGACGATAACCATTCACAAAAATCAGCCGTTACGGATGAGTCCGAGATGTATGACATGATGACCAGAGGAAACTTAGGGCTTTTAGAACAAGCGATTGCTCTCAAAGCCGAACAAGTCAAAGTTGTTCGAGAGCCAAGTCGAATTCCTGCTGATAACCCCAAGAATTTCCAACCAGATGATAAACAAAACAGATCAATAGACACCATGAGGAAAAACTTTTATGGTAAAAATGTTTCTTTGTCTAAAATACTGCATGCTTTTTAGAAACCAATATTGTTCTTAGACAGAGTTAAAGCATGGAAAAATCATCCGTAAATTAGTTTTATTGAATTCTGCACTTGACCAAAAAAATGTGTTGCAAGTTCCGACTTTGCAGAAATAAAGCCTACCCACGCATTTTATGCGTTATCTCTTAACGCACAGCATGGTAGATTCTCCAAGTTTCAAGCCCCGTAGCAATATGTTTTGCAGTGTACAGCTCATTATACAGCGGCCAACAACCAACATCCGACATTTTCTGCTTTCTAAGCAATGTGGGTCTTTGCTAGTATATGTTGTTTCTTTTCCACACTATTTGAAAGCTGATATAATATACGTCTCTCGCTGCTTCATCCTCGGGATGATGGAGTAAGTGTAATGTAATCTCCATGTGGTTGTGTCTGTGAGTTCACAGGAAACAGATTAGCAAACTAGAAATGAAATAAGATCTTTCGCATTGATCCTTGGGGTAATTTTTAGCTGAGCTATGATATTGCGCATTAACGTTAGCCGCGTGCGGAGGGTGAAAAGTATTTTGTTACACTTTGATTATGCTGACACAAAGATGATAAAAACTGCATGAATTGTTCCTTTGTCTGATACAAATGGGTCTTAAATATAGTTCTGTTACTGTATAAAAAAAAAAAAACACTTTTACAATATTATGTCATAGCATGTCATTATTCGTTATAGCAAGCATGTACGTTTGTGCTTAGAACATATCTCCCAGGATGCACCTTGCATTGTTCCTGATTGGTTGCATATTATAGACATTCGTTCAAGTGTCAGTATTTCTTTTATAACTAACTAGTACATGCCTCCAAGCAGGCTTAGTGAATTGATATAAAATAAATTATAATAATACAATAAATGCTATCAAAATGAAAAGATTTCTCGATTATAGAAAAAAACGACTTTCTTTGGTGACGATTCCTTATTCAACAAAGGACTCAACAGGAAGGGATATATCAAATTCAAAAATTTAATTTCTAATTTTATTTTTACAAATACTGTATTTATTGAACAGAATTCTAACATGGGTTTCCACAAACTGGGCAGATAAATTGTATAGACTTATATGTACTTTGATTGTTCAGATGCAGCCAGGCCAGAGAAGAGAGAGATTAAATGCCCCACCCCGGGCTGTGACGGTACCGGACATGTCACAGGACTGTATCCCCATCACAGAAGCCTCTCAGGATGTCCTCACAAAGACAGGATTCCTCCAGAGAGTACGTATCATTTTGTAATTGTGTGTATATATAGTATCAGTCACTTGGGGCGGTAGTTACATCATTCATAGCAGCTGATAGCAACTTGCTACCTCAAGGGGACAATTACCAAATGACACATCCTTTTTTTTGCAATGAGACGTGTTCATCGCTGTGTGCGAGCCTGTGACTACTTAAGGGCAGTCTGGACCCTATAATTATGTCTATGACCACTACTGTATACACAGTTCCTTCCTGGAGTACTTGCGGTCCTATCATGTGTTTTTATAATGTTATGGGTTTACCCATTCATCCAGTGACTCATGCAGGATGGATTGTCAGCTCCCTGATCAAGAATTTAATCGTTTTCTAAGGGATCCTTTCAATCCCTAGTTAACACAGCAAAATGTTGCCTTGTTTTTCCCAGAATGCACTTTGCTTCTTCATTAAATGAGAACAATGTGTAGGACTACTGTTCTCATGATATTTTGCCAGCCTTTAGACTGACACATTATAGCAGGAGTCATAGTTCGGCATTGACTGCATTTACTCCATTAGCCTACCCCTGATGCTGACAGTTAACTTTATTTATATGCAGAAGCCGTATTGTGCACTGTTCTGGTGGGTAGAGGATAAATCGTTTTGTTTGTGTTTATTTTCTCCTGGCACAGTTCTGGCAATGCACGAGAATGTGTTGAAATGCCCAACGCCGGGCTGCACTGGACAAGGTCACGTGAATAGTAACAGGAACACACACAGGAGGTAAATATTTCAATTGATGTACGCGGTATTCCGACCTCAGCCTCAGAGAGAATACAGATTTACCTTAAAAAGACACCGTTACAAAGAGTACAAATTAATGTAACATCACGAACGTGGGCATGTATTGTAACGCAAATCCCAAGCAGTATTCCTATTTTGACTAAACTTCTTGAAAGTGGCGATCAAGTCAATTATCCCCAAATTTTTTCACATTTTGTTTGTAAAAATAAGTTCATGATTCTGTTGCTCTCCTGTCCTTGTTGGAGTCCGAATCCCAAAATCCTTTCGCAGTTCTATTAATAAGCCTTGCATTAATCTACTAGTGTCACAAATTTCATTGGAAATCCTCCTCTATGCAAGAGTAAACAGATAATCACATGTTTGCTCTCCCAGCCCCTGTGTTTACCCAGCAATCAACCTGCAGGCACTTTTCAGAACCAATGTTGGTTTTCATATTTGTCTCAAATCTTTCGATGGTAACTGAATTGCATTTTGCAGCTTGTCCGGATGCCCGATTGCTGCGGCTGAAAAGTTAGCCAGATCTCATGAAAAGACACAGCAGCCAGGGGACCTCTCCAAAAACAGCCCTAGCTCAGACAGAATACTCAGGTACGTGCAAATAAAAACAGGATGTGGGTCCCTTTTACCACATGAGATCTTCCTTTATTATTTCATTATTACCCCAATTATTACGCAGTTTGGTCTGGAATTACCTCTTTGGGTTGGAAGACAATGTTTGCTCCTTCTCTTGAAGGCGTAGTATGGAATTTTTCTATTGAGGGCCTACAGGACTCTTGACTGCCTATTCACTAATTTGTTTCTGGTTCCGCTGTGTGTCTGACAGGCCCATGTGTTTTGTGAAGCAACTGGAGATTCCCCAATTTGGCAGCTATCGACCCAATATGGTGCCTGCGACCCCCAGGGCAAACCTGGCCAAGGAGCTCGAAAAATACTCCAAGGTCACCTTCGATTATGCAAGTTTTGATGCTCAGGTTTTTGGCAAACGCTTGCTTGCTCCAAAGATTCAGACAAGCGAAACCTCACCCAACGCCTTTAAATGTAAGTACAATCAACATAACAGTGGTGTAGTCCAGGAGGTGGAAATAATGCGCAGAGTTATAAACACTGGGGGCGGTGTACTGAGACTGAGAATCACCAAAAAGAAGACTAAGGCTCTGCTAATGCAGAATTGGCCATAAAAATAGACCCCAACACTGTCATACAATTGATGCCTGGCAAAGCATCATGTGGATTGCAGTTCTAAAAGAGCTTACAAATGTGCCTTTTGGCCATCTCTCTACGAGTGTGTAAAAATGAAGTTCTGAAAACATGACTTTTTTGAGCGCTATATGTTATTGCAGTGTGATAAAAATGGCTGCACACTCTCTCACAGAGGTGAATATCTAAAAAATGGGGCTCACCTACAGTAACAGCACAGTGACTAAATAGCTCAGATAAACTTAGAAACATAGAATGTGACGGCAGATAAGAACCATTCGGCCCATCTAGTCTGCCCAATTTTCTAAATACTTACTTTAGTCCCTGGCCTTATCTTATAGTTACGATGGCCTTATGCCACGCATGCTTAAACTCCTTTACTGTGTACTCCAGCTTTTACATTAAAAAAAACCCCACCTTTCCCCCAATACTATCTAAAAACAGACAAGTAATTACTAATAAGATGTCAGGTTTATTAGACAAGTCAAAGACTTTTTAAAAAATATCTCATTCTCATAACTAATGAACTGTTTTAATAAATGTTCACTTTTTCCTCTGTCGATTAGTGTGATCTTGGGCTTTCTGAAACGATGTATTCAGAAAGACATGATAAATCTGATCAAATCACCTGGTAATTGCAACCGGCCACAACTGAGCTTGCAGAAACCAGCTTTGTTATGTTTTTTTTTGCGTAGTTATGGTTGTTTTAGCGCAGTTGTGATTGTTTTAGTGTAGTTGTGGTTGTTTTAGCGCAGTTATGGTTGTTTTAGTGTAGTTGTGGTTGTTTTAGCGAAGTTGTGGTTGTTTTAGCGTAGTTGTGGTTGCTTTAGTGGGTTGGTTGGGAGTCAAAAATGTGCTAACTAGTTTTTATTTAGTCTATTGGGTTCTTTACTGAATACAGAGGCTGCTTTGTCTTCCGTATTAGGAAAGATATAGATAAGGGCAGTGCGGGAAGTGGAAACCTCGATTATAGTTCTGAAGATCTCCCTGCGGAAATATTCCGGCTTCTCACATTCGCGCTGTAATCCAGATGCAGTTGGACAATCTAAAGCATTCCTGCCCCAGAGACACCAGCTTATTGCAGTGCGATGGCAAATTATGTTGCAGTTAAACCTGTAGAGGATGGAACTAAAATGCTGGCCCACGGCCAGTCCTGCCAGCCTGCTTTACAGCTGACGGGAAACTAATTTGTTTACAGCAAAAGTAAAAAAAACAAAAAACAAATACAAAACAATATTCTCTTGCTGAATAAAATCAGCTCATTTGCAGTATTAGGATAAGACTTCACAGGATAATTGTTCTGACGAAATGAATTACGACAAACAGAATATAATACAGTTTCTAAACAATCCTCCTCTCCGCTAACGCACTGATTGAAAATCTATTTGAGCTGGAAAAATGTATTAAATGTGAAACGTCAGCGGGAAGGCAGAGGCGAATTGAAGATGATGCATTCTAGTTTTCTTATTTCCCAAAGGGGGCAGTTTAGACTATTCATAGATAGGGGAGTGCGCAATGCAATTCATTGTGTTTGTGGTCCATTGCTCAGCTGAATGTTAAGATCGCGCATGGATGGAAGTTGTCAATATTTGCATTTACATTGAATGTTCAGTATATTTAGCAAGCTTTTTGTTTTTTGCACGTTTTACAGCCAAACAATTCCCAAAAGCCTCTTCCCCAAGTCACAGCCCATCCAGCAGTTATGTAAAAAGTACTTCTTCTTCCTCCTCTGGCTTCGATTACACCCACGACGCAGAGGCTGCTCACATGGCGGCCACCGCCATCTTGAATCTTTCAACGCGCTGCTGGGAGATGCCGGAAAATCTTAGCACCAAGCAACAAGATCTGCCTAGTAAAGTGAGTTACTCACCCAGGCTGGTTTTAAACAGGTGGCAGGTTTTAGATGGAAACACGGTTTGCTATGATTAGGGATTTGATTAACAAAAATGTGAGTTGGAATATGATGACGATCAACGTCAAAAATACAAACCAATATTGTTGGGTTGGATAAAAGATTTCCGGTTCAGATACCTTTTTTCCCAGCTTTACTGGCATAAATTTAGAGAAATGTTGAAGCCATGTTGGCGAAGCAAGCCAGTGTTAACCCTAAATATACTAAACTCCTAAATATCTAGGGATATTTGAAGAAACCAAAAAAGTGAATTGTGTAGCTAGAAGGGAAACAGAAGGTATCAAGAAAAGAAAAAAAAAAAAAAAACTAAAAAAAGATTTCAAATTACAAACACAATACAACAGCAGTAGAGGAAAAGGAAAAATTTGGGGGATTTAATGGGTGTTGTTCTGGAAGCTGTTGAGCCTGTGAAGTATGGTGCTCAGTAGAGAGTACACGATGAGCATTATGGTAAAATGTATTAAGATATCTGGGATAACTGGGAAATGATCAACTTTAGAGAAAGCAGATTGTGGAGCACTAGATCATACTGCAATGGTAGAACACCAACATTCAGGTGCAAGGCCTTTACTTTTATATTTGTCCCACAGTCCATGGATATTGAAGTTGATGAAAATGGTACATTGGATCTGAGCATGAACAAACACAGGAAACGTGAAAGCACGTTTCCCAGCAGTAGTAGCTGCAGCAGTAGCCCAAGTATGAAGTCCCCTGACCAGTCTCAGCGCCAAAACTGCACCAGTGCCACCAGCAGCACCATGACTTCTCCTCAGTCCAGCCAGACGTCTCGGCAAGATGATTGGGATGGACCCATCGATTATACCAAGCCGAATCGCCAGAGAGAAGAGGAACCAGAAGAAGTAGGTACTGGGGAACGGGTAGCTTTTTATACAGTTTTTAGTGAAGTACGTAACATTAACATGTTTGTGTCCTGTAATAAGGTAATTGTTATTTCTTGTATATTCAAAATTAAATTAGTGTTCTGGTCAAATTGTAATTCTCGTGAAGGCTCTAAAAGTGCTGCAATAAGTAAGATGATTCCTTTTAGTATTAATGGTGACTTTTCAAGCCCCAAAACATTGAGCTTTTCTTCTTAGCTCAGTTATATTTGTATGCTTTGTTGGGTTTTGAGTCCTGTAGAATTTATTTTTCTGGGATTATGTCAAAGCAGTCAGAGCCTCAAAAAATTTATTTTTCTTTTTGTTTGCTTGATTTAAGTCTGAGCCTGCAGGAGCATCTTTTGCTTCCTCGGAAGCTGATGACCAAGAGTTGCAAGAAGAGAACTTTGAGGATCGGAAATATCCAGGGGATGTCACATTAAGCAATTTCAAACTGAAGTTTCTCTCCAAGGACAGCAAGAAGGAGTTACTGACGTAAGTCAAAATCCAGGATAAAGCTAGCTGTTCCACTCGTTATATTGATAGCTTTCACCCCTAAATCTAATCATTAAAGGACACACATTTGGTTTTCTGGGTCTCGAGAAGGTACAAAACAAAATAGCACAACTCAAGTTTCTGAAGAACTGTTATCAGTTCAAAAGGTAGGCAAGTGCTTACCTGATGAGTTTAATTTGAGAAGAGCCCCATTGCCAGCTATTCATTTTAATATACTCCTGTTGGGAGGGCAGGGGAACGGGTTATTTGTCAAATATGGCGTTCTCTTGAATTTTTAAGGTCCTCTTATTTGACCAGTCCCTCAGAGAACAGGTCTTTTGGACACAGCTAATCAAGGTGCAGATTATCTTTAATCCTTCTCTTGCAATATATTGCAGTACCCTCTGGGCAAGAAGGAGCTCAAATATCTAAAATTAGTCTGCATTTCTAAATTAACATGTTTAATAAATACACAAGTGGTGAGTCAGCAGCAGAATTATCAAAAGACATGGTCTGGATTGTGCACTGTCTTCTTCTGTAGTCTTGGGTGGTTTTGTGAAAAGATTTTGTTCTTATGTTATAACCTATCCAAAAACATGTAAAGGGACCCCATTTTGCCTAGACGTACCCCCTGCATTTAGTCTGGCAGAAAATGCATCTCCCGTTGGACTTACATGAACCAATATTCTCCTAGATATTTTGCTGCACAACGGGAAATTCGGCCAGTACGAGATGGGGGGTGCGCAAGTCCAAAAGGGGGCGATGGAGGAAAAAAATCAGCAACCCTCCTGAATGAGTAAGTTCTCAAAAAAATGTAGAAATAAAATTATATATGAGGGTTTGTGTGCACAGCAGGAGACCACTGATTTTTAAGTTATAATAAAGGGATTTGCAGGATCTGATGTTGTCGGCCATAGCTGGATGCTATGTCCATTCTCACATACATAATACTCTTGTCATCTGTAAAGCTCTATTAAAGGAACTCTCCAAACACTATGACCACTACAGTGAGCTGTAGTGGTTATTGTGCAAGGAGTACCCTGGTGCCCTCCAAGGGTAAGTAATCAAACCCTTTGCAAAGTATCAGTTGCAGCCTCCTGTGGAGCAAGAAGCTCCTGCAGGGAGCATTCATCAGCACCCTTAAAGTAAGCCCTGCAGTGCAGGGTCATCTTGTTGGCTGAGATCGTCAGCTGACCTGCATTACTGGGATAAACTCAGGGTAGAGAGCATCCAGCTCTCTTGGAGAAGGTGACCGACGCTTGGTGGAATACTGTGTAGCGGGGGGGAGGGAGGAGTTGGACCAGGGCACTCCTGGCACCGTAACCACCACAGTGCGCTGTAGTGATTTCAGTGCTTGGAGTGTTCCTTTAACGCTGAGATTGGCAGAATGGGTGCAGATCACTAAAAGCAAAAACATGTATTTGTCTTTTTTTATGTGTCCAGACTGGAGAATATTTCAGGAAGTAAAATAAGATGATTATACAATGATATGAATAAGAAGAATATTGATTATTTTAGACTGTGAAAAAATGTTAACTATCACAATGCAATTTTTAGGTCAAAAATGAATTAGAGAAATTATCTAGTTGGTTATTTTTTCAGTTTGGCTGTTCTGACCTTTGTAATTCCCACTGTCCATAGAGAGCATTGCTTGCAGACTGTCCATAGAGAGCATTGCTTGCAGGCTGTCCATAGAGAGCATTGCTTGCAGGCTGTCCATAGAGAGCATTGCTTGCAGGCTGTCCATAGAGAGCATTGCCTGCAGGCTGTCCATAGAGAGCATTGCTTGCAGGCTGTCCATAGAGAGCATTGCTTGCAGGCTGTCCATAGAGAGCATTGTTTGCAGGCTGTCCATAGAGAGCATTGCTTGCAGGCTGTCCATAGAGAGCATTGTTTGCAGGCTGTCCATAGAGAGCATTGCTTGCAGGCTGTCCATAGAGAGCATTGCTTGCAGGCTGTCCATAGAGAGCATTGCCTGCAGGCTGTCCATAGAGAGCATTGTTTGCAGGCTGTCCATAGAGAGCATTGCCTGCAGGCTGTCCATAGAGAGCATTGTTTGCAGGCTGTCCATAGAGAGCATTTCCTGCAGGCTGTCCATAGAGAGCATTGTTTGCAGGCTGTCCATAGAGAGCATTGCCTGCAGACTGTACATACTGAGCATTGCTTGCAGACTGTCCATAGAGAGCATTGCTTGCAGGCTGTCCATAGAGAGCATTGCCTGCAGACTGTACATACTGAGCATTGCTTGCAGACTGTCCATAGAAAGCATTGCTTGCAGACTGTCCATAGAGAGCATTGCTTGCAGGCTGTCCATAGAGAGCATTGTCTGCAGGCTGTCCATAGAGAGCATTGTCTGCAGGCTGTCCATAGAGAGCATTGTTTGCAGGCTGTCCATAGAGAGCATTGCTTGCAGACTGTCCATAGAGAGCATTGCTTGCAGGTTGTCCATAGAGAGCATTGCTTGCAGACTGTCCATAGAAAGAGCATTGCTTGCAGACTGTCCATAAGGTCAAAATAGCTGAACCTTAATATTTTCTGTCAGCTATGCTCTTTGTTTGGCTAATCTGGCAATACAATTAGAAATACTCTTTTATTTAATTTAAAATTCTCACTTTAGTAAATAACCCATGGTTACATTATTTTTTTATCAAACTCCTAGTTTGTGCAACCTGATTACTATGATCGAACGTGGTATCTGTTGTTCTGCGCTGTGGCACGCGTGGTTGTTGAAGTGAGATGTATCTTGAATGGTGACCTTGTATCACATTGGTCAAACTCTCAGTAACTTTACTGCTGCTAAAATAAAAGGCTGCTGGAAGCATGTGATGGCAATAACCAGTCGGATCATGGGATTTCCCAGTTCAACCAATTAGTGCATTTCTCTAAAAAGGCTTTATGACTGTTTGATGTGCCAGAATTATATTTATGCTAAAATAAAGTCAGGGTTATCTTGGAATCGATATTAAAATATCTAATTTCACGCAGTGCGCTATCTCACTGGAGATCTCATTCCATGCAGTGTGTTATCTCACTGGTGATCTCATCCCATGCAGTGCACGTTTTCACTGGAGATCTCATTCCATGAAGTGCGTTATCTCACTGGAGATCTCATTCCATGCAGTGCATTATCACACTGGTGATCTCATTCCATGCAGTGCACTTTTTCACTGGAGATCTCTTTCAATGCAGTGCTTTATCTCACTGGTGATCTCATTCCATGCAGTGCATTATCACACTGGAGATCTCATTCCATGCAGTGCATTATCTCACTGGTGATCTCATTCCATGCAGTCCACTTTCTCACTGGAGCTCTCATTCCATGTAGTGCATAATCTCCCCAGTAATCCCATTCCATTTAGTGCGTTATCTCCCCAATGATCTCATTCCGTGCAGTGCGTTATCTCTCCAATTATCCCATTCTATGCAGTGCATTATCTCGCCAATGATCCTATTTCATGCAGTTCATTATCTTGCCAATGATCTCATTCCATGCAGTGCATTATTGCTCTAATGATCCCATTCCATGCAGTACGTTATCTCCTGAATTAGCCCATTCGGTGCAGTGCATTATCTCTCCAATTAGCCCATTCCATGCAGTGCGTTATCTTGCCAATGATCCCATACCATACAGTGCGTTATCGCTCCAATTATCCCATTTCATGCTGTGCGTTATCTCCCAGTGATCCCATTCCATGCAGTGCGTTATCTCCCGAATTAGCCCATCCCATGCAGTGCGTTATCTTGCCAATGATCCCATTCCATGCAGTGCGTTATCGCTCCAATGATCCCATTCCACGTAGTACATTAGCTCCCCAACGATCCTATTCCATGCTGTGCATTATCTCTCCAATGACCCCATTACGTGCAGGGTGATATCTTGCCAATGATCCCATTACATGCAGTGCGTTATCTTGCCAATGATCCCATTACATGCAGTGCGTTATCTTGCCAATGATCCCATTCCACCCATTCCGTGAAGTGCGTTATTTCACTGGTGATCCCATTCCATGCAGTGCGTTATCTCCCCAATGATCCCATTCCATGAAGTGTGTTATCTCCCCAACGATTCTATTCCATGCAGTGCGTTATCTCTCCAATAATCCCATTCCATGAGTGTGTTATCTCCCCAACGATCCTATTCCATGAGTGTGCTATCTCTCCAATGATCCCATTCCATGCAGTGCGTTATCTCCCCAACGATCCTATTCCATGCAGTGCGTTATCTCTCCAATGATCCCATTCCATGCAGTGCGTTATCTCCCCAAACGATCCTATTCCATGAGTGTGTTATCTCTCCAATGATCCCATTCCATGCAGTGCGTTATCTCCCCAACGATCCCATTCCTCTCCAATGATCCCATTCCATGCAGTGCGTTATCTCCCCAACGATCCTATTCCATGCAGTGCGTTATCTCTCCAATGATCCCATTCCATGCAGTGCGTTGTCTCCCCAACGATCCTATTCCATGCAGTGCGTTATCTCTCCAATGATCCCATTCCATGCAGTGCGTTGTCTCCCCAACGATCCTATTCCATGCAGTGTGTTATCTCTCCAATGATCCCATTCCATGCAGTGCATTATCTTGCCAATGATACCATTCCATGCAGTGCGTTATCTCTCCAATTATGCCATTCCATGCAGTATGTTATCTCCCCAACGATCCTATTCCATGCAGTGCGTTATCTCCCCAAGATCCTATTCCATGCAGTGCGTTATCTCCCCAATGATCCTATTCCATGCAGTGCGTTATCTCTCCAATGATCCCATTCCATGCAGTGCGTTATCTCTCCAGTGATCCCATTCCATGCAGTGCATTATCTTGCCAACGGTCCCATTCCATGCAGTGCATTATCTCTCCAATGATGCCATTCCATGCAGTGCGTTATCTCTCCAATTATGCCATTCCATGCAGTGCGTTATCTCCCCAACGATCCTATTCCATGCAGTGCGTTATCTCTCCAATGATCCTATTCCATGCAGTGCGTTATCTCCCCAACGATCCTATTCCATGCAGTGCGTTATCTCTCCAATGATCCCATTCCATGCAGTGCATTATCTCTCCAATGACCCCATTACATGCAGTGCGTTATCTCTCCAATGACCCCATTACATGCAGTGCGTTATCTCCCCAATGATATCATTACATGCAGTGCGTTATCTCTCCAATGATGCCATTCCATGCAGTGTGTTATCTCTCCAATGATCTCATTCCATGCAGTGCGTTATCTCCCAAATGATCCCATTCCATGAAGTGCGTTATCTCCCCAACTATCCTATTACATGCAGTGCGTTATCTCTCCAATTATCTCATTCCAAGAGTGTGTTTTCTCCCCAACGATCCTATTCCATGAGTGTGTTATCTCTCCAATGATCCCATTCCATGCAGTGCGTTATCTCCCCAACGATCCTATTCCATGCAGTGCGTTATCTCTCCAATGATCCCATTCCATGCAGTGCGTTATCTCCCCAACGATCCTATTCCATGCAGTGTGTTATCTCTCCAATGATCCCATTCCATGCAGTGCGTTATCTCCCCAACTATCCTATTACATGCAGTGCGTTATCTCTCCAATTATCCCATTCCAAGAGTGTGTTTTCTCCCCAACGATCCTATTCCATGAGTGTGTTATCTCTCCAATGATCCCATTCCATGCAGTGCGTTATCTCCCCAACGATCCTATTCCATGCAGTGCGTTATCTCTCCAATGATCCCATTCCATGCAGTGCGTTATCTCCCCAACGATCCTATTCCATGCAGTGCGTTATCTCTCCAATGATCCCATTCCATGCAGTGCGTTATCTCCCCAATGATCCCATTCCATGCAGTGCGTTATCTCCCCAACGATCCTATTCCATGCAGTGCATTATCTCTCCAATGATCCCATTACATCCAGTGCCTTATCTCCCCAACGATCCTATTCCATGCAGTGTGTTATCTCTCCAGTGATCCCATTCCATGCAGTGCATTATCTTGCCAATGATCCCATTCCATGCAGTGTGTTATCTCTCCAAATGATGCCATTCCATGCAGTGCGTTATGTCCCCAACGATCCTATTCCATGCAGTGCGTTATCTCCCCAAGATCCTATTCCATGCAGTGCGTTATCTCCCCAAGGATCCCATTCCATGCAGTGCGTTATCTCTCCAATTACCCCATTACATGCAGTGCGTTATCTCTCCAATCATGCCATTCCATGCAGTGCGTTATCTCCCCAATGATCCTATTCCATGCAGTGCGTTATCTCCCCAATGATCCCATTCCATGCAGTGCGTTATCTCTCCAATGACCCCATTCCATGCAGTGCGTTATCTCCCCAATGATCCCATTCCATGCAGTGCGTTATCTCCCCAACGATCCTATTCCATGCAGTGCGTTATCTCCCCAACGATCCTATTCCATGCAGTGCGTTATCTCTCCAATGATCCCATTCCATGCAGTGCGTTATCTCTCCAATGATCCCATTCCATCCAGTGCATTATCTCTCCAATGACCCCATTACATGCAGTGCGTTATCTCTCCAATGACCCCATTACATGCAGTGTGTTATCTCCCCAATGATACCATTACATGCAGTGCGTTATCTCTCCAATGATGCCATTCCATGGAGTGCGTTATCTCTCCAATGATCTCATTCCATGCAGTGCGTTATCTCCCAAATGATCTTATTCTCTGCAGTGCTTTATTTCACTGGTGATCCCACCCCGTGCAGTGCGTTATCTCCTCAATATCCCCATGCAGTATATTATTTCTGGTGTTGTTAGTTTGCTCTTTGCATGTAATCTCATTCCTACACGTGGTTCTGATACATGGTTTCTTCATACAGCTGTCCTACTCCTGGATGCGATGGAAGTGGCCACATTACAGGAAATTACGCCTCCCACCGCAGGTAAGATTCCCCCTGGGTTCTTTATCTCTGCTCTGGCTTGCTAGCTTTTAATTTATTGTTTGGTACTATCCCGCATTCCTCCTTTTTTTTGGCTTATACAGATTTCTATCTCTTCTCTTACAGCCTTTCTGGTTGTCCTCTTGCTGACAAGAGTCTCAGAAATCTCATGGCTGCTCACTCTGCTGACCTCAAGTATGTTTGCGCTGCTCTACTCCCCTTTCCCTGAACGCTACCTCCCCCTTTAAACCTATCCTCCTTCCGTGGCTCTTACCAAAATCTGCTGAGACGACTGAGACCCCATAATTTAATAAAACATCACCAAATGGCAGAAAACTGTTGGTGGAGATCACAATTGGCTCCAATCTTTAAAGCTCTGAGCAGATTTTGTTTGACTACATCAGAGCTAAATTCTTTATTCTTTGCATGTTTTGCTTTTATTATTTGCTATAAAATGGTTGGGAAACCCATATTACAATCAATGACATGTCTCTGCTCCTGTTACGGAACTCATGGAGTGAATCTTTTTCTGCAACTTTAAAATTGTCTGTTACAAAAAAAAAATGGTTTTAAAAGAAACAATATGTCAATAAAGGGAAAATTACACTAATGAATAAAACATCCGAAATCACCTATATCTAACCTATTTTGTCATGTGATGCTCCATTTCTTGTCACCTTCTGGGACCTTTGCATGTTTTGCAGAGACCCCTAATGGTGACATTGATGCTTGATGAGCAGTGGCCTAGGGGTGAAGAACATGTGAGCTATTCAAACTTGAATTAGATGTACTTACATGAATACCCTCAAGGCCACCGCCATCTCCACCTGGTCAACCTTCTTCAGCTGATGGTACGTCTTCTCCAAGGAGCCAACGTCAGCCCAGTATTGAGCATGCAATTAGGGAGACAATGAGAAAAATGACAAAACATGCGGTGGTACCTTTGCCTTTTGTCATGTTTTGTCAAGCAGAAGGAAAATACACAATATAAAATACATAAAAGAAATCCCTACTTTGCTTTTTTATTTTTCAGACCTCACGTATATTTGTTGAATATAGTGGATAAATAAACATAATATTAAAATCCTGCAATGTGATGGTTTCCCTATAAAAGCTATTTAAAAAATATATATTAACAGTTGTTTAAAATGTTTCAGTGGTTACAAAGACATTAATTTAACTATATGAATGAATGTATTAATAATATCTGGAATACCAGTGAATCATTTCACATATATATGTATTATTTTGTAGAGGCATTTCTTTTACATAAAGAAAACGTTTTCGGAAAATCATGAAGCAAAGACTTCAGTTTTTGTGCATTGTATGGATTTTACAGAGATAAATGAGCAGTTTTAGGTTTATTATAACAAACCGTATCCTGTGTGTACTTATAATCAACAAAAATATCATTTCTTAACCCTTTCTCTCCCGTGTTCCTTCCCAGGTGCCCGACCCCTGGATGTGATGGCTCAGGACACATTACAGGGAATTATGCGTCTCATCGAAGGTGAATTATGGGTGAAATAATTACCATTATTCTATATCCTGTACATTGTTACCGTAAACTCTGACTAAAGCAGTGAAATTACCCAAAGGATGGAAATGTCCATCTCTTTCCATCCTCCTTCTCTAATAGTGTTATTTACTAAACCAGAAATGGACACGACAATTCCCCTCGTCAATTCGCCACAATTTCTGATTTACTAAGAACAACTCCATCTGTCTTCTCCAGCACCAAACTGCGGCTCAGTCACTGTCGGGGTTAGTTTCTAAAGGAGGGATGGCTAGGAAGTGAATTCAGACTGAATTTCAAAATAGGCCAAAATAAGAAAAATGTCCAAGTCAGTTCAGTTTGGCTATAGTTTATTACTGAAATTCACAATGAATTCCTGGCAATTCTTCATTTAGTGAATAACTCTGCAGGTCCATGAGAATTCTACGCTCTGTCCCGCTATTGTTTGTCATGGTGGAACTGTCTGCGATCTGATAGATCGTGCCTGTCACAATCATCCCTCTCTGTCTCTGAATTTATAGTTTGTCTGGCTGCCCTCGTGCCAAGAAGAGTGGAATGAAAATTACACCCACCAAGGAAGACAAGGACGACCCAGAGCTAATGAAGTGAGTAAATTCAAGGAGAAAGAGTGTGAAGCCATTAATTATGATGATATTTTAGACCAGGAAGTGAGGTCTGCCAGTAACTGCAAGGAAATTGTGTTCAGTCATTAGGGGGAATTAACTTGACCAAAGAACGACAGCAATAAACACATCAGAGCTTAATTCCCTAAACAGTGAATTCTTACGCACGCAGGACAGAGTGGAAAACAATGCTGATATAATGGCTCAGTCACTGAGTTGGAATTTTTGTTTTCACATTAGCTGCTTTGACCCCAAACTTGCAATTTCATTCTGTACGCAACGCAACTTTGAATTATCCCCCAAATCTATCTTAAATGCATTGTTGCACAATATTAGAATTATAGCAGTACAGTTTATACATTGCCCACTTAAAACCCATGACTGGCACCCCTTGGTGTACACGAGCTTGGGTATGGAAGGGGGATCACTGATAATTACAGAGGGAATAATAATACATTAATTAGAGATATTATATTGGACCCCCTGCTATACTAAAAGCATTAAAACACAGAATCGAAAGGTATGGGCTGCACAAATTCAGTATGCTACAGCAAATGTATTCCTCTTAACTTATAGGAACGTTGTTTTGGCCATAAAAGGCTTTAATCACGTTTCTTAATCCCGTTCCTTTCGTTCTTGTAAATTATACAGAGGAGCAAGCAGCTCCCTCAGAACAGAGCTCAGAATATGTATTCAGCTCCGAGAGTGTAGCGGTATTGAGTTCAATACTAAAACATTATCTTACCAGATTATATCACCTCAAATAAATACAACATCGAAAATACCTTCTCACATGCCGCAAACACCACAAATGCCCTCTCACATGCCACAGAGATCACGAATGCCCTCTCACATGCCACGAATGTCCTCTCACATGCCGCAAACATCACAAATGCCCTCTCACATGCCACAAATGCCCTCTCACTTGCCACAAACACCACAAATGCCCTCTCACATGCCACAAATACCCTCTCACATGCCACAAACACCACAAATGCCTCCTCAAACACTAAAAATGAATTCTCAGATGCCACAAACACCACAAATGCCTTCTCACATGCCACAAACATCACAAATGCCCTCTCCTATGTACCAAATGTCTTCTCACATGCCACAAACACCATGAATACCCTCTCACATGCCACAAACACCATGAATGCCCTCTCACATGCCACAAACACCACAAATGCCTTCTCACATGCCACAAACACTACAAATGCCCTCTCACATGCCACAAACACCATGGATGCCTTCTCACATGCAACAAACACCACAAATGCCCTCTCACATGCCAGAAACACCAAAAATGCCCTCTCATATGCCACAAACACCACAAATGCCCTCTCACATGCCACAGATGTTTGCAATTGAACACACGTAACCAGGGTGCTGCAGACTGGGAGGGCCAAGTTCCCAAAGAAATGCAATGGTAGTAAATACAAGTATCCAGGCACAGCTAATGGTTTTTAAAAGCCAGTCTTGATTTGAAACACAGAAATGGAGACAATGTTTCATTTTCTACAGGAGCCTTTGTCAAGTCTTGAGCGTGGTCTGGGAACCTAAAGTATATGTGCGGCAAGTTCCGCCCTCACATTAGGCCTTCCTTGTAGGAAAGCATTGAATCAATGCATGTCTGTGAGGTTTTTCAACACCTTGGACATCCTCATGCAAAGCGTAAGAACATCCAGAGCCATTTTACGTGGGTCAAATTCTGTGACACACCAGGAAGCAGCTCTGGCGGGAGTCTGGTAGACAGTCACCAGAGGAGGTCTTAACCCTGCAATGTAAACAGCGAAGTTTCTCTGAAACATGTTTTACATTGCAGGGTTAAGGGAACAGGGACACTGCACACAGACCAATACAATGAGATGAGATCTGGGTGCCTTCAGTGTCTCTTTAACCTCACAATCTCAATGTATCAATTTCCAGATTGTGTGATAACAATGAAGACTGAAGTTAATCCCAGCTGTCAGTTGATTACGATTTCGAATTTTTATGTTGTTACCAGTTGAAAAAGGTTGTAACGTTTCTGGATTATGATCACATGTGATGTCAGCCAAACCTGGACATTGTTATTAATTTAATACGATACTGGATTATAATTTATCCCATAATTTACTTTTCAAATCTACCTAATTCAATGTTGAGTGAATGAAGCTCTGGAGACTCCTTTAATTCTGAGGAAAATGCATTTAGAAAAAAATTATAATCTATATTAAAATACTTTCAGGACATATGTGGGATACAGTTTACTGCTCAGAGAACTACTGTATGATTGCAGTATTAACAATATGCTATTGGTAACAGTGGCGTGGTAACGACATGATTGCAAAGTCTATTTCTCCTTTGGGGTATTGAGTTATTCGCTTGTGATCGCATTTATGACACTTTATCTTTCTCAATCCGTGGCCCCCGCTGGCAAGAGAATTAGGGGCAAATTATAATTCGTTCTGCAAGCAATTAAAAACCAAGATTGGTATCTCAGATTACACATCATTAAAAAATATATATAATAATAATAACAATTGTGGTCCTTCACTTACTGTGCATTGGGAAAGCAATGCTGTTTGTGAATATATATATATATATATGAAAAGATCAGAAGATCTTCACTAGAAGAGTCATGATGAAGACTATGATGGGTGTTTGCTTGAAGACTTGTCTTAATTCATAATCATAATCAACTTTTAAGTATTACTCAAGTAACAGGGCTTGAAGCTAATTCTCCAGGGAAATGGTTTCTCGATGGCCAAAGATAGTTCTAAGGATAGGTTTAGGAATTAATTATTAAATATGTTTAATGTGTATATGTGTCACATATCCTGGTTTCTTATGCCGATTTCTTTTTATTTTTGTACGTAGGTGCCCCGTTCCCGGCTGTGATGGTCTTGGACATATTAGTGGGAAATACGCGTCCCACCGCAGCGCCTCAGGTTGCCCGCTAGCTGCCCGAAGACAAAAAGAAAGTGCTCTGAACGGGTCGGCCTTCTCTTGGAAATCTCTGAAGAATGAGGGCCCAACCTGTCCCACCCCCGGGTGCGATGGATCGGGTCACGCCAATGGAAGCTTCCTCACTCATAGGAGGTACGAGTCGATCTAAAACCAAATTCCACTCTGGTGTCAGCAAAAAAAAATACATCTACCACCTCTTTTTTCACCGTGTCTGTCTATAATCAATAAAACATGACAAAGAGCAAGTTCATAGCGTGACAGCTCTGTGTGACCTCCTTGACCACACATTTCCAGTGAGCAGTAGTTTATAACCCCTATATTGACTTGGTTATTCACTAAACACAGCAGGTGTCTTTCAATTTGGATATTGTGGCATAAAAGTATGAAATTCATCTCAAATTCCAAACAATTGAAATTTTTTTTGATAAATGATTAAAATTAAACTAATATGATTTTTCCCTAAAAGATGGCAAAATACAAATCAAAGTTTGTATTATTCTTTCCAACAAGGATACAAGTTGACTCAAAAACCTACTCTAAAATTGTAAATTGTACGTTTCCTGGATCAGTAGAACAACTGTGTTTATATTAATTTTTACTAAATTATATATTCAACTTCATTAAACAATAGTTTCTGGATTCGTAATGAAAGCATTTGCTGAATTTCACAGCACTATTTTTATAATTAGTGAATTCTACATCTTCACTTACTGTGACGTTCCCCTATCTACATCAGTGCGAAATTTTTTTAAATATTTCATTATATCTTTTCATGCGACAACACTGAAGAAATGACACTGCTACAATGTAAAGTAGAAAGTGTACAGCCTGTATAACAGTGTCAATTTGCTGTCCCCTCAAAATAACTCGGCACACAGCCATTAATGTCTAAACCGTTGGTGATAAAAGTGAGTACACCCCTAAGTGGAAGTGTCCAAATTGGCCCAAAGTGTCAATACTTTGTGTGGCCACCATTATTTTCCAGCACTGCCTTAACCCTCATGGGCATGGAGTTCACCAGAGTTTCACAGGTTGCCACTGGAGTCCTCTTCCACTCCTCCATGCTGACATCGTGGACCTGGTGGATGTTAGAGACCTTGCGCTCCCCTACCTTCCGTTTGCGGATGCCACACAGATGCTCAATAGGGTTTAGGTCTGGTGACATGCTTGGCCAGTCCATCACCTTTACCTTCAGCTTCTTTAGCAAAGCAGTGGTCGTCTTGGAGGTGTGTTAAGGTATCATGTTGGAATACTGCCCTGCGGCCCAGTCTCCGAAGGGAGGGGATCATGCTCTGCTTCAATATGTCACAGTACATGTTGGCATTCATGGTTCCCTCAATGCACTGTAGCTCCCCAGTGCCAGCAGCACTATTGTAGGCCCAGACCATGACACTCCCACCACCATTCTTGACCGTAGTCAAAACACACTTGTCTTTTTACTCCTCACCTGGTTGCCGCCACACACGCTTGACACCATCTGAACCAAATAAGTTTTTCTTGGTCTCATCGGACCACAGAGCATGGTTCCAGTAATCCATGTCCTTAGTCTGCTTGTCTTCAACAAACTGTTTGCGGGCTTTATTGTGCATCATCTTTAGAAGAGGCTTCTTTCTGGGAAGACAGCCATTCAGACCAATTTGATGCAGTGTGTGGCTTATGGTCTGAGCCCTGACAGGCTGACCCCCCCACCCCTTCAACCTGTGCAGCAATGCTGGCAGCACTCATACATCTATTTCCCAAAGATAACCTCTGGATATGACGCTGAGCACATGCACTCAACTTCTTTGGTTGACCATGGCGAGGCCTGTTCTGAGCGGAACCTGTCCTGTGAAACCGCTGTATGGTCTTGCCCACCGTGCTGCAGCTCAGTTTCAGGGTCTTGGCAATCTTCTTATAGCCTAGGCCATCTTTATGTAGAGCAACAATTATTTTTTTCAGATCCTCAGAGAGTTATTTGCCATGAGGTGCCATGTTGAACTTCCAGTGACCATTATGAGAGAGTGTGAGAGCGATAACATGAAATTTAACACACCTGAGCCCTTGTAACACTAACGACTCACATGACACCAAGGAAAGAAAATGGCTAATTGGGCCCAATTTGGAAAATTCCACTTAGGGGTGTACTCACTTTTGTTGCCAATGGTTTACACATTAATGGCTGTGTGTTGGGTTATTTTGAGGGGACAGCTAATTGACACTGTTATACAGGCTGTACACTTACTACTTTACATAGTAGCAGAGTGTCATTTCTTCAGTGTTGTCACATGAAAAGATATAATAAAATATTTACAAAAATGTGAGGGGTGTACTCACTTTTGGGGGATACTGAATGTCGAAAGCAAGCCGTACAAAGTCACTACTGGAAACTTAGTTAATGTAGGACATAGTTCTTCGCACAGCCTGTCCTCCACCAATCTTTAAATTTCTTTCTTCTGTTATCTCCAGTTTGTCAGGTTGTCCCAGAGCTTCCTATGCAGGAAAGAAGGGCAAACTCTCAGGGGATGAACTTCTAGGCACAAAGTTCAAGAACAGCGATGGTAAGTGTGTGTTACGGATGTGAGAATGAAAACACACTTTAGTAAAACTATAAAAATAAAAAGACTGGTACAGGATAAAACCAGGTTCACAGAAACGAAAACGTAGACCAGTCTTTGTCCGAACTTTGGTTTAACAGCGTACGTTGGCGTTTTTTGATAAATGCATCCTATAGCCGTTAATGTCATTTTATAACAGGTTTTAGTGTTCAATAGCAGAGAGAACCTCAGGTCAAGCTCTGCCAACCAGTATTGTTGCCAAGTCTTATAAGCATATGGCGTATCCCTGTACAACAAATATGAACTTGGCTTTAATGGGAACTTTTATATGATATTTGTGGATACGCTTTTTAAATTATTTAAAACCATGGCAGCCAATGACAGTGAATTATGGTCAGAGGCAAGTAAGTGTAAAGTATGGTGGCGTAATCTACAGCTTCCCATCTGGTAAAATTCCTGTAGCATCTTAACTCCCAGCTGGCTGAGGTTTATTGGAATTAATTCAACAACATGTATAGATTCTTCTTGTTGAATGCTTTGTGGCATGATTATAACATACTGAATCTCCTTCGCAGTCTTAGAGAATGATGAAGAAATTAAGCAGCTGAATAAGGAGATCAATGATCTGAACGAGTCCAACTCCGAGATGGAAGCAGATATGGTGAATCTTCAAACTCAGGTCAGTACCTTCTATTCCGTGACCATGTTATATATCGCCCAATGGCTGCAAGTTCAACCTATAATCCCAGGTATGAGAGGCCCAATAATGTTTTACGTAACTTATGAGATGCCTCCCATAATTAAAATGTAACCCAGATATGCAGTTTTCCAGTCTGTAAGAGAGGCTGATCTTCCTCATCAATGAGTGTAGTTTATTAATACAGTAAATATTGTTCTTGATAACCTCAGTTTTCATTTCTACCTATAAGGCTTCCATGCCACCACTCACTACCTTCAAATACCATTTCATAGTAATAGGATTTCATTCAAGTGTAACATATAATCATTCCCTTTCCCCATCTATTGTCTTCGATTAAAGTCAATGAGCTGGTGATGGTATTGTTATGGTGTTATAGGGTCATTAGTAAACATGGCTTACACATTAAAAAAAAACAGTTCATTGCCAAAATGGATTTATTCTGAGGAAGTGATTTATTTACCAATATTAGAAGCAGTGTGTTAGGTAGATGGTAAGTTTATTTTGGTGACATTCCTTCTCTTCCACTCCTTACAGATCACATCAATGGAGAAGAACCTAAAAAATATAGAAGAAGAGAATAAGGTCATAGAAGAGCAGAATGACGCCCTGTTTGTCGAACTTTCTGGGCTAAGTCAGGCCCTTATCCGAAGTCTTACCAACATCCGCCTTCCTCACATGGTACGGAATATAAAAGTTAAATGTTGGATCGATGGGTCGATGGATGGACAGGTGGAAGGGTGGTTGGATGAATGGATAAATGGAAAAAAAGATGCTGTCGTAAAAATACCTCACAGTTTCCCTATACTATATTGAATAGTAGAGAAAAGTCTTCAAACAAAATATTAATTTATGTTAATAAAAATAATTGTACAAAACGAAAATGTTGGTAATTCAGCAAAGACCGAATTACAACATACTGTTTTGGGTCATTCAATTCTTATAATTGCATTTTTGGAATGTATGTTATCTGTTCCTGTCTGTGTAGTTTGTCTTGTTTGTTTAGATTTTTTATTTTTTACAGTAAGCCAATAAAGAAAAAACATCAGATTTTGTATGGTGCCATATATCCTAATCTTAAGCCACCAGATGTTTGTGGTGTCGTTCATTTCAGTAGACACAGTTCTTGCTTGCCCCCGTGTTAGTGCGTTGATTTTTTTGGGTTGGTCGTTAAGCGCAATGTTTGTTTTTTATTTACAGGAGCCAATCAGTGAACAGAATTTCGATGCCTATGTGAATAAACTCACTGACATGTACACCGACCAGGAATGTTACCTCAATCCGGAGAACAAAGCTTTGCTCGAAAGCATCAAACAAGCTGTCAAAGGGATTCAGGTGTAACATAGGAATATGAGAATTTTCCAGTTGAGTATTCAGGTCCACAAGCCAAATGGTTTGTGCATTGAATCACAAAACTTAAAGGACCAAAATGAGTTAAAAAAACTAAACAAAAAAACTAAATAAATTAATGAGGAACCGGATGGAAATGTTGAACGCCAATTTGGAAACGAAGCTGAAAGAAAATATAAATTATTTTGTTTTATTCTTAAATGTATCGGCCTGATACTGGAAAATGAGGAGAAAGGACCATGCTCACTTACGCAATCCAGGATACAAAGATGAGTTTTTATGACCAATTAAGGGCCAGATTGACTGCAAAGTGAACAAAGCCTGCCCTTTCTATTTTCAGGGTATGATGATACATTGTGGACCATTTAACCAAGAGCAAAAACCCTGAGGTTCATTCTTGGACCAAACTTAACCAGACGCCAAAACAGAAGATTTATCTCGACAGATAAGATATCTGCCGAACCCATCAGGATTTTTATTTTTTTATTTTTATTTTATTATTATTTTTTTTTAATAGAAAGGTCCGGCAGAGGAGTAAAAAGACAAGTATTATACACAAGAAAAAAAAATCTTCTTTATTTTTCACAAAAACATTTTAAATGAGCAGTTCTGTAATTCCTTCTGAAGCGCAAAGGGTTAAAGGTTCTCAGGGAAAGCTTTCGGGGTTACAGCTGCGTCGTTAATTTTTTATTTTCTGTCTTAACTTTCTCGCTACCAGGGGGTAGGGGTTATGTTCAAATCGTACCGCAGTGCAAACTGGCATGCAGCTGTGTCCCCTCTAGAATGCGTTTCCAGTTTGCTGCCAGAACAAAGTCACTTAAGCGGTGTTGAGTGGGTGTGTGTATTTATGTGCGTATGGGAGGGCCATCTCCTTCTCTTTGTATGGAAGGCCACCTCCTTCTCTTTGTATGGAAGGACAAGCTACTTCTATGTGTATGGAAGGGCCATCTCCTTCTATGTGTATGGAAGGGCAAGCTCTTTCTATTCATAAGGGACGGACAATTCCTTCTGTCCATATAGCATGGCCAGTTCCTTCTATTGTATGGGATGGCCAGTTACGTCTGTCTGTATGGAATGGCCAGTTGCTTCTGTCTCTATGGGATGGCCAGTTCCTTCTGTCCATATGGTATGGCCAGTTCCTTCTATTGTATGGGATGGCCAGTTCCTTCTGTCTGTATGGAATGGCCAGTTCCTTCTGTCCATATGGGATGGCCAGTTCCTTCTGTCCATAGGGGATGGCAAGTTCATTCTATTGTATGGGATGGCCAGTTCCTTCTGTCTGTATGGAATGGCCACTTCATTCTATCTGTATGAGGCAGCCAGTTCCTTTTGTTGTATGGGAAGGCTAGTTCCTTCTGTTGTATGGGAGGGCCAGTACCTTCTGTCTATATGGGAGAGCCAGTTCCTAGTGTCATTATCCAGTGTCTATAATTTCGAGAGTTCTATCTGTCTTGGTTCTCTTAGTGCAGCCCTGTAGGATATGTATAGTGAAGATACGTTTTAGCAGTAAACCCTGTACCAGGCAGGAATTCAGGTACAGGTTTAGCATAAATGGTCCTGGCTCAACCTCTTCTTCTCCTTGCGTGATTTGCAATTTGACATACATAATATATTGGGCTCTCACTTCTTTCCTCATGTGAAGAAGTGAAGGGTTGAGCTAGTAGAGAGAATACTCTCCATTCTGTTGGCCAGGGAGTTATATATTGTAACCTATCTTTTGACAAGCAATTATCGGTTAACAGAATGAGACAAGATATGGGGTACAAATTTAATAGAAGAGATTTTGTTTTTACTTTGTAAATCTTGATATTACAGCATGGAAGATGGGTCGATTGCTAAATTTTAGCAGGTTAAGCTAGATGCCCCATGCTTGCTGTTGGCAGACAAGCTTGAAATGGACACCTACATATTGTATGTCCAAGGTCTACAGAGACTATAAAGCGGCTTTAAAATACCATCAAAGTTATACTCACTCCTGCTAGAGCTGTATTAACTACTAGGTCAACTTTGACAACTCCTATGAACTTATCTTACATGGTGGAAGATGACCTGACATTGGGATCCAGAGTCAATATAGGGCAATGCCTACATTCTGCTCTCTGCCCCTACACATTGTTGAATATGTGTTCAGGAAATAAGCTCTCAATGTAGTGACCCAACCTGGGCCCTTCTCTGTTTTAATCTGGCTCTGAATTCTGTTTAACTGCGCTTTCTGCATAATGTACCCTGTGTCCTTAGCTGATGACTGGTTAGCCAGGATTCTGATGGTCAATTGAGATTCACCGTAAAGATGAGTACAAAAGAGATTTATCTAACTCTTCCACGGTGCGCTATAAGACCTGCACATATCCCTGAGAGTATTCTGGATGTAAAGTTTCGAAGGTCTTGATCACACACTGTACAGATAGAGCAATACATGTAAATGTAGGAAATAAATAAGTAAAACCTATTTAGCAAGGATTCCAGCTAACCTGGAGATGACATTACAATCACCACCATCTAATACCATAGACCTTGGTCTTAAAATTGTGGTGGAAAGATGGTTCTGCATGTATAGAACAAAGAGATGAATTTATCAGAAAGTGAAGTTTGACCTTTGTAAATTCTATACAGGTTAATGTAGCAGGTGGTTGTATTCATGTAATCCAAAATGATGTCTTGGGCCTCGGCAGCAAGTAATCTTTTTTTTATTTTTTAAAAAGACTTAAAACTGCGTACATGTTCTTGTACATAAAGTCTAATCCAGATGTGAATAAGAATCAGCTAGTATTTTGCCAGTAGAACAGCTGCACTTCCACGGATAACTTAGTTTTATTATCTTGTAAATTATTTAATTTCTAATTTATTCATAAAACCATATGTGGATCTTCTACTATTTATTATGTTAATTTATTCAATTTTTTTTCGTTGGACTTATTTTAACTGGATACCACACGTGAATAGGGAGAAAGGAGTTTAAATATAAGAGAAATAAATTAATAATAACCTTTTGACAATAAATTATATTCCATGGGTGGAAAAAAATGCTATCTACAGCTAATAGTTTTGATGAAACCTAGTTATTTTTTATAAATTTTTGTTATTTATTCTTTTAAACAATGGGAATTTTTTTAAAGATATTTTATAATGGAGGAGTTTTGATATTTTTTTTGTTTTTGTTTCATTTTACTGGGAAAAAGGGAAAAAATAATATTTTTTTTCTTCACTTTCATTCCTTTTGTTTTGTTTTGATTTGTGTAACTCTTTTGGAGATGGAAATGACTTTGGTGGCTTTCTGCGGAACTCACCATTGCCATTTCTACATCCAAAGACGGTCACTATGTTTCAGGCACTGATGACAGTATATTGAAAAAAATGCTGTATTTATTTATTAATTATTTAAGTAAAATGGACTTGTGAACTTGTTGTATATTTATTTTGTCATGTTTGTGAGTCTGTTAATGTGATTGTTTATGTGAAGAAATCCTGTTAATATTTAAAATTAAAAAAAAATCAAAAAATTTAAAATAAAAGGTTGCATTGAAGGCTGATACAGACTATCTGTTAATCTCTGCTAATCTCTCCGATACTGTGATTCCGGCCTCAGGGAAAATACAAAACCAACCTGACTACACTTCAGAAATAAAACTCAAATTCTACTTGTGAATGTCTGGCTTTTCTTTTTGTATCTTATTCGTAATTTATTTGCACACAATATTTTACTCTGTGTTTATATTACGAAAAAGGAATCTAAAAAAGAAAAAAATTCTACATTTTTAGCCTTGTACACATCCTGAGCATTCTTCAATTCCTTTACTGTGTTAGCCTTATACACATACTGAGCATTCTTCAATTCCTTTACTGTGTTAGCCTTATACACATCCCGAGCATTCTTCAATTCCTTTACTGTGTTAGCCTTATACACATCCTGAGCATTCTTCAATTCCTTTACTGTGTTAGCCTTATACACATACTGAGCATTCTTCAATTCCTTTACTGTGTTAGCCTTATACACATCCCGAGCATCCTTCAATTCCTTTACTGTGTTAGCCTTATACACATCCTGAGCATTCTTCAATTCATTTACTGTTAGCCTTATACAAATCCTGAGCATTCTTCAATTCCTTTACTGTGTTAGCCTTATACACATCCCAAGCATTGTTCAATTCCTTTACTGTGTTAGCCTTATACACATCCCGAGCATCCTTCAATTCCTTTACTGTGTTAGCCTTATACACATCCTGAGCACTCTTCAATTCCTTTACTGTGTTAGCCTTATACACATCCCGATCATTCTTCAATTCCTTTACTGTGTTAGCCTTATACACATCCTGAGCACTCTTCAATTCCTTTACTGTGTTAGCCTTATATACATCCTGATCATTCTTCAATTCCTTTACTGTGTTAGCCTTATACACATCCTGAGCATTCTTCAATTCCTTTACTGTGTTAGCCTTATACACATCCTGAGCATTCTTCAATTCCTTTACTGTGTTAGTCTTATACACATCCTGAGCATTCCACAATTCCTTTACTGTGTTAGCCTTATACACATCCTGAACATTCTTCAATTCCTTTACTGTGTTAGCCTTATACACATCCTGAGAATTCTACAATTCCTTTACTGTGTTAGCCTTATACACATCCTGAACATTCTTCAATTCCTTTACTGTGTTAGCCTTATACACATCCTGAGCATTCTTCAATTCCTTTACTGTGTTAGCCTTATACACATCCTGAGCATTCTTCAATTCCTTTACTGCGTTAGCCTTATACACACCCTGAGCATTCTTCAATTCCTTTACTGTGTTAGCCTTATACACATCCTGATCATTCTTCAATTCCTTTACTGTGTTAGCCTTATACACATCCTGAGCATTCTTCAATTCCTTTACTGTGTTAGCCTTATACACATCCTGAGCATTCTTCAATTCCTTTACTGTGTTAGCCTTATACACATCCCGAGCATTCTTCAATTCCTTTACTGTGTTAGCCTTATACACATCCTGAGCATTCTTCAATTCCTTTACTGTGTTAGCCTTATACACATACCGAGAATTCCTTAATTCCATTACTATGTTAGTCTTATGCACATCCTGAGCATTCTTCAATCCCTTTACTGTTTTACCCTTATACACATCCTGAGCTTTCTTCAATTCCTTTATCGGGTTAGCCTTATGCACATCCTGAGCATTCTTCAATCCCTTTACTGTTTTACCCTTATACACATCCTGAGCATTCTTCAATTCCTTTACTGTTAGCCTCATACACATCCTGAGCATTCTTCAATTCCTTTACTGTGTTAGCCTTATACACATCCTGAGCATTCTTCAATCCCTTTACTGTTTTAGCCTTATACACATCCCGAGCATTCTTCAATTCCTTTACTGTGTTAGCCTTATACACATCCTGAACATTCTTCAATTCCTTTACTGCGTTAGCCTTATACACATCCTGAGCATTCTTCAATCCCTTTACTGTTTTAGCCTTATACACATTCCGAGCATTCTTCAATTCCTTTACTGTGTTAGCCTTATACACATCCTGAGCATTCTTCAATTCCTTTACTGTGTTAGCCTTATACACATCCCGAGCATTCCTTAATTCCATTACTGTGTTAGCCTTATACACATCCTGAACATTCTTCAATTCCTTTACTGCGTTCACCTTATACATATCCTGAGCATTCTTCAATTCCTTGACTGCGGTAGCCTTATACACATCCTGAGCATTCTTCAATTCCTTTACTGTGTTAGTCCTATACACATACTGAGCATTCTTCAATTCCTTTACTGCGTTAGCTTTATACACATCCTAAGAATTCTTCAATTCCTTTACTGTGTTAGTCTTATACACATCCTGAGCATTCTTCAATTCCTTTACTGTGTTAACCTTATACACATCCTGAGCATTCTTCAATCCCTTTACTGTTTTAGCCTTATACACATCCCGAGCATTCTTCAATTCCTTTACTGTGTTAGCCTTATACACATCCTGAACATTCTTCAATTCCTTTACTGCGTTAGCCTTATACACATCCTGAGAATTCTTCAATTCCTTTACTGTGTTAGCCTTATACACATCCTGAACATTCTTCAATTCCTTTACTGTATTAGCCTTATACACATCTGAGCATTCTTCAATTCCTTTACTGTGTTAGCCTTATACACACATCCTGAACATTCTTCAATTCCCTTTGCACCATGTTAGCCTTATACACATCCTGAGCATTCTTCAATTCCTTTACTGTGTTAGCCTTATACACATCCTGATCATTCTTCAATTCCTTTACTGTGTTAGCCTTATACACATCCTGAGCACTCTTCAATTCCTTTACTGTGTTAGCCTTATATACATCCTGAGCATTCTTCAATTCCTTTACTGTGTTAGCCTTATACACATCCTGAGCATTCTTCAATTCCTTTACTGTGTTAGCCTTATACACATCCCGAGCATTCTTCAATTCCTTTACTGTGTTAGCCTTATACACATCGTGAACATTCTTCAATTCCTTTACTGTGTTAGCCTTATACACATCCTGAGCATTCTTCAATTCCTTTACTGTGTTAGCCTTATACACATCCTGAGAATTCTACAATTCCTTTACTGAATTAGCCTTATACACATCCTGAACATTCTTCAATTCCTTTACTGTGTTAGCCTTATACACATCCTGAGCATTCTTCAATTCCTTTACTGTGTTATACTTATACACATCCCAAGCATTCTTCAATTCCTTTACTATGTTAGCCTTATACACATCCTGAGCATTCTTCACTCATTTACTGTGTTAGCCTTATACACATCCTGAGCATTCTTCAATTCCTTTACTGTGTTAGCCTTATACACATCCTGAGCATTCTTCAATTCCTTTACTGTGTTAGCCTTATACACATCCTGAGCATTCTTCAATTCCTTTACTGTGTTAGCCTTATACACATACCGAGAATGCCTTAATTCCATTACTATGTTAGTCTTATGCACATCCTGAGCATTCTTCAATCCCTTTACTGTTTTACCCTTATACACATCCTGAGCTTTCTTCAATTCCTTTATCGGGTTAGCCTTATGCACATCCTGAGCATTCTTCAATCCCTTTACTGTTTTACCCTTATACACATCCTGAGCATTCTTCAATTCCTTTACTGTTAGCCTCATACACATCCTGAGCATTCTTCAATTCCTTTACTGTGTTAGCCTTATACACATCCTGAGCATTCTTCAATTCCTTTACTGTGTTAGCCTTATACACATCCTGAGCAATTCTCAATTCCTTTACTGCGTTTATCCTGAGCATTCTTTAATTCCTTTACTGTGTTAGCCATATACACATCCTGAGCATTCTTCAATTCTCTTACTGTGTTAGCCGTATACACATCCTGAGCATTCTTCAATTTCTTTAATGTGTTAGCCTTATACACATCCTGAGCATTCTTCAATTCCTTTACTGCATTCATCCTGAGCATTCTTTAATTCCTTTACTGCGTTAGCCTTATACACATCCTGTGCATTCTTTAATTCCTTTACTGCGTTAGCCTTATACACATACCCAGCATTCTTCAGTTCCTTTACTGCGTTAGCCTTATACAAATCCTAAGCATTCTTCAATTCCTTTACTGTGCTAGCCTTATACACATCCCAAGCATTCTTCAATTCCTTTACTGTGTTAGCCTTATACACATCCCGAGCATTCTTCAATTCCTTTACTGTGTTAGCCTTTTACACATCCTGAGAATGCTTCAATTCCTTTACTGTGTTAGCCTTATACACATCCCGAGTATTCTTCAATTCCTTTACTGTGTTAGCCTTATACACATCCCAGCATTCTTCAATTCCTTCACTGCGTTAGCCTTATACACATCCTGAGCATTCTTCAATTCCTTTACTTTGTTAGCCGTATACACATCCTGAGCATTCTTCAATTCCTTTACTGTGTTAGCCTTATACACATCCTGAGCATTCTTCAATTCCTTTACTGCTTAGCCTTATACACATCTTGAGCATTCTTCAATTCCTGTACTGTGTTAGCCTTATACACATCCTGAGCATTCTTCAATTCCTTTACGGTGTTAGCCTTATACACATCCTGAACATTCTTCAATTCCTTTACTGTGTTAGCCTTATACACATCCTGGGCATTCTTCAATTCCTTTACTGCGTTAGCCTTATACACATCCCGAGCATTCTTCAATTCCTTTACTGCGTTAGCCTTATACACATCCTAAGCATCCTTCAATTCCTTTACTGTGTTAGCCTTATACACATCCTGAGCATTCTTCAATTCCTTTACGGTGTTAGCCTTATACACATCCTGAACATTCTTCAATCCCTTTACTGTGTTAGCCTTATACACATCCCGATCAGTCTTCAGTTCCTTTACTGTGTTATCCTTATACAAATCCTGAGCATTCAATTCCTTTACTGTGTTAGCCTTATACACATCCCGAGTATTCTTCAATTCCTTTACTGTGTTAGCCTTATACACACACCGAGCATTCTTCAATCCCTTTACTGTGTTATCCTTATACACATCCCAAGCATTCTTCAATTCCTTTACTGTGTTAGCCTTATACACATCCTAAGCATTCTTCAATTCCTTTACTGTGTTAGCCTTATACACATCCTGAGCATTCTTCAATT